ATGTTTCATGGCTCTTAACGCCGCTCCTGCAATTTTTTAACTTCGATAGCGAAATCCAAGTTTATCTGTACTTTCATCGACGTTTCTGTGCGTTTTGTTATTGTCCATTGTTAGTTATCGCCTTCAGGGCCTCCCTGTCATGATTTCTTAGAATGCAGAATCTTGCACTATCTTCAATTCCTCGAAACTTGTCAGCTTATTTTCTTGCACGGGTCATTCGTCTCTGCTTCGCTAAAACTGTTTCCACGGCGTGAAGAACAAAAATTTCATACCTTACCTTGGCACTGATGTTCAAATGGTCATTTCGGCAGTATAACATTTTCACGACTGTTTTTGTTAGTTTGCTCATACATCATAATACAATCGAGAGCTAGGCTAAAGCCTATTGATTTTTGAATCATAGCAATATGATTTATCTTCACATTCTGCGAAATAACAGGAGAATGGCTCGTAACGAAAACTGGCAATATTGCTACTGAACTCATAATAATGGAGTTAATTTTTATGCAAAGATGCCTATTGTTCTCTCTTCTCTTCATGCACTCTTTATTCCGCTGCTTAACTTTTGGGTCGTCCAGGTTAGTTTTCTTAGCAGTACCTTCCGTTGTTTTCGTAACTACTTAAGGTATTTTTCTATATGTTTCGTTTATGGCCAATTTATACCTATTCAAGACACGACATGAATCAGCTGCTGCAGACAAGGCTCTGGACTCCTGAACCTCAGTGGATGGAAGCTATTATACTCAGATGTCGATATCACTGTAGATCAGATTCAAAAGATGCCAGTAAAACAAGGTCGCAAAGAACAACAACAACAACCTTCTCGTTTCCACACATCTTACGTTGATATTCTATCGCCCTGGCTACGCTTAATTATTATATCCATGTACAACACAAACAACAGAGGGACAAAACGCAGTATTGGCGGAGACCTGTGCCTGCGCTAAAAGGTCTTCACTTACGTTCGTTTACTCGGACGCAGCAACTGCTATCAGCGTATAATGATTGAATAGCCGTAGTAACTGACCATCGATCCCATGTGTTCGCAGGCATGCCTATAGATCGTTGCGTGGGAACCGGACATAGTCTTGCTCTAGATCCACAAAGCACATATATACCAAACGGGCAAACTCCCAAGATTTCTCGACAATCTGGCGCAAAAAAGCTTCTCGTCAGATGCGCTTCAGACGGGCCGAAAGCCACACTGCACTTCCTGTATCTTGGAGTCAGTTATTCCGCGGCACCTACTTTCTAATACCTTTGCGTGGGCATTACCAGAGAGGCCTCAGTAAAGCAGTGCCACAATAACTGGACCATTTCACAGAGTCTTCCTTCTTGAACAAGGGTACTACAACTCCGTTCTCCAGTCCGCCGATGTCTTCCCATAGCCACTGCACTTTGACAGACACAAGCCAAAGCACATGCTCTGTTCGCCCAATTCATTAAACATTTCAGGGTGGATTTCACCGATCGCAGCAATCATTCCACTTTTCAAGCTTTGCACAGCTTGTGTCATTTTATTTACAAAGATATTATATCTGTTCTCTGTTGCTGTTCAGGTGACTCTTCTTACTGCGGTTGCTCAGGGTTAAGGAGTTTCTCCAAGTACCCTCTCCATCGCCAACGAATTTTTTTATCCTCCATAAGATGATGTTCAGACGTATCCTTCAAAAATCGTAGTTCGCCTTTCTCTTCACCTCAGAACCGGCGGATGATCTGCCAAAATACCTTGTTTGCCGTCAGGAAGCTGGGCTCCAGAACCTCACCGAACTTTTTCCAGGAATCAGTTATGGCTTTCGTCACTGCCTTTATGTCGTCTTGCACGTTTCTTTATACCGCCGCAGGCGAGTTGACGGTTCTTTGCTTCCAAGCCATTTCGTGAATTTATTGAATGCAGGTCAACCCATTTCCACGCAGTATTAGGTGCCATCCACGAGCAAACCGATTTTAAAGAATTTTCACCCTGTTTCCATATTCGTGGTTATCACCAGGATCTGTTCAAACCGTCGTGCGATGCTGGTTGCAAATTTCACTCTCGTGCCCTACGAAGATAGTATTTCCTATCAATTCTCTGGTTGCTTCTGCCACCAGATCTTCGTATGACACTCCATTTCTCACAGGGTAGCGTGCAAACAACAAGATGGTGATCGGTTGACAGCTCTGCGCCTCAATTAACGGGAACAGCCATTATAAAACTAGGATGTTAGTATCCTCTGTACTCCATTAGGTCGGAGGATACGGGTATCAAATCAATCATCGGCTGATGTGGATAAGCTTCCCAATAACAGGTATACTAACGCAAGCTTCGAAAAATGGTGCTCATAACAGACAGTCCGTTGTATGCAAAAAGCCGCAGCAACTATATGATGTAACTGTTGAGGTCGCTAGGGCTGTTCTTTCCAATCACGCCTTTCCACTTTTCACTGTCTGATCCAACATGCACATTAAAATCTTCCATTAGAATGGGACAATCCGCAGTGGGCACTTCGTACAGAGCACATTCAGTTTTCTCAACGAAGGGTTCATATTCTCAGTCCAAACTGGGCGCATAGATTTGTAACAGGATCAACGCTTTAGCCTGTTGCAGCTCCAGTCAGAAAACTGGTACTCTTCTGTTGACAGGTTTCCAATCAATGATTCTGTGAGTCAAGTTGGCTTCTATCAGAAAACCAATGTGACTGGTGTCGTGACGTCGACACCTGAGTAAAATAGATTCCATTCGAAGAGATTCATGATTCCAGAGCTTTTTCGGACATCCTATAATGGCATTACGCTGCCTGTCGCCTCCCTTCACAAAGGGTAGGGACTCCGCTGCTTACTGGTATCTTCGCGGTCAACTTGTGGACCATCGGCATCCGTTGTCGTGCTGCCATAGCCCCGGATGTCTGAAGCTTGTGAGCAGTTTCAGATCGCCGACTTTTCACGGTATGCCTCAGTTCCCATCAACTTGCACCGCCCCTGCCTGTCGCGGGTGACGCCCAAGCCTGTCTAATGATCAATAAAGAGAATAAAATGAGGGGCAGGTGGCTAAGTTTTACGGAGACTTCCCATGGTCTCCAACCCTCCATTTTTATTATCGGGGCTTGGGAGCGGAAACGGCGGAATTACATAAAGAACTGAATCAAAAATTTGTTTTGCACAACACACGTGAACCTTCAGAAAATGTTTTAGAAGAATTTTTCGGTCCATTTATTTGATGAACTGTGAAGGTATAGCTCAACCCCACTTTCACGAAAAAAAATCAGAAGTTCTCCAAACGATATGCAATGCCTGCACATCACTGCAAGAAATTAAGAAATCTCCATAGAAAGAGATAATCGAATTATTGAGGAGAGTTTTACTTAATTTGACAGCATAAAACTGTGATTATCAAACAAGTTTGGCTTTGAGTTTCTACCTTTCATAATTCCATCACAAGAAAACATAATCTAAGCCGTTTGAACAGCAAATATATGCTTGCTTAATGTAAAAAACATTAACAGAATGAACGGAAAGTGAAATGTAACTGCTGAAAAATAAACAAATTACTGGTATCGGGACTCAAAACGCCAGCAACACTGAATGCCGTTTAAATGAAAAAACGTAGAAACGGTCAGAGTAGAGTCAAAACTACTTATGCGAAGCACATAAATAAATCACAAAACGAATATAACAAGGAGGTCACTAATAGCGGGTATATAACAGACGGCAGCCGAAGAAACGAGGCCAGTGTCAATCAATGGGAATATTGTTTCTGAATGGTTAAAATGAAATCCACCATACGAACAATAAGCTTGCCATCGAACCAACCAATCAGACAACCAAAACAAACGTCGCTGATGTGATGGCGTCCAAGTACGACACGCGACAATGCTAATGCCATAATATAAACCAGACTAAATATTCGGAGGCCGAAAACGCCGCCACAACAGTTATTTAGAAATATCGTCACTAACGTCAGTGCGCGACTGCAGTGACCGGATGGAAAAGAAAACTGATCGACGTATGGAGCGGACGCAACCATGCTTCTGGCAGTTGACACTGCAGGACGCTGACGACGAAATGCAAGTTTCAGGATGCATATCACGGCTAAGTCTAGCAATAACCCTGAAAGTGCGAAAGTATATGACACGAAATACTTCTTCTTTAAACATAATCTCATGCTGCGCATTAAACCGAACTATTACCATGACGACAAGCAGACAAATGTGCTGTATCATAGATGTACCAAAACTTCTCTAAGGCTCATACATATATCGTGGCGTAGATGACTTGAAGGTGATAGGTCTTCTGATTCCATGGTTGGCAGTACGAGAATACGTGCTGCCAACCATGGATAGTTGTACTACTATAATTACACTGAGTTGGTCATTAATATTTTCTAGCGAAGGAGCATGACTGCATATAACTAAAAATTGAACACCACGTCTGACTCTCATATTCAGGTTTTAATTCTTTTATCAATCACTGCCAATTACATAAAGATTACCAACATTCGTTACACGTCGTTCTTGGCACAAAGGGACTGCGATATTCTCTCAAAATAGCAATATTCCGATTCAGATTCACAAACGTTTCGACTAAACGCTCAACATTCAACCCCATTTATCAGAGCAGATCAAATAATGTTTGTTTTTTAGGAAATCCATGAAGCAGTTGAAATTAAATTCAGCATAATAACTTCAGTACAACTACGTAATGATTCGTTCACCAGATGAAGAACAACGTGCACAATTCGAAGCCGATAAAAGTTGTTACAAAATACCGAAAATGTATAGAAATCAACTATGGTGAATAAATGTGAGCATGTGGACTCGTTTTCTTTCTACAGCTAAATGAATACACTTAACTTCGCCGTTGCCAGTCCCAAGCGTGGTTGAGAAAGTAGGTGGGCTTGAGACTGTGGTGAAGTCTCCGTAAAAGTCTTCGTTCGCCATCTGATCTTCATGTTATTGACATTATCGAAAATTATACCGGCTCGGTCGTAGCCCGGGTTACCAAGGGCCGCGCACGCAGGCTGTTGGGGGACTGAGACAGACTGCGAAAAGTCAGCGATCAGAACCTGCTCACTGCCCTCTGCCAGCTGGGGACGTAGCAATACAACGATGGCTGACGAAGACCGACGCAACGACGACGAAGATACCAGTCAGCAACGGAGTCACCACCGGATTTGAACTGAGAAGGTAGACAGCGCGATGACATTATAGAACGTCAATAAAGGCTTCACGAGAACGACACCGCCAGCCAGAGCTTACAGTCGGAAATTGGAATATATCCCCACTCAAACGAAACAGCAAGAGTTAGTTGATGAGGTCTAAAGTACTAACTCGACATAGTTGGACTCTCGTCAACGAAGCGCCAATGCTCTGGAATCCTGAACCTCTGCGGGTGGAAGCTATGCCACTAAAATGTCGATATCACGACACGAGTTCAGGCCAGTGTTGGTGTTCTGGTAGAACCCAACCTCGCAGACAGAACCATTGATCAGAAGTCTTCCAGAGGAAATGTGGCAACCATCCGATTAAAGCTACAACAGGCTAAAGTGTCGACCTTGATACAGGTCTATGCGCCCAACTAAGAGGAAAATTCCTTTCTTGAGGTAGTGTAGTGTTCTCTGTCCGAAGTGCCAAACACAGAAACCCTCTTACTCATGGGCGATTATAACGTGAATGTCGGAGTAGATGCTGAAAAGTAGAACGGCGTGATTGCAAAAAACGGCCCCAGCGACCTCAACGATGGTGGCATGAAGTTGTTGCGATTTTGTGCAAACAACGGACTACATAAAATTAACACCTTCTTCGAGCATTGAGTAGTGCATCAATATACCAGACACAGGGAAACTTGTGCACCGAAGTCGATGATCGATTTGACAATCGTATCATCTGATGTAAAACACTCTGTAATGGATGTTCGTAAGAGGACGTAGTGCTATCAACCGATCACCACCTTGCTGACACGCTACGCTGTAAGAAACTAAGTACCAGGCGAAGATCTGTTGGCAGAAGCAACCGGAGAATCAAATGGGAAACATTAACTTCGGTGGACCCGAGAGCGAAATTTGCAAACAACATCGCACGACGGTTCGAACAGATCCCTGTGATGACTGCTGATGGAGCAAACGAGTGGCAGCTTTTTAAGAGCAGTATATCTGCTGCCAAATACTGCGGATTTAAACGGTATAGTCTGCCACCTGGAGGTAAGGAAAGAACTAGATGGTGGACACAAGAGCTACAACTGGCAGTTAAAGAGAAGAAAGCAGCGTGCAAGAAACTGCTTGGAAACAAAGAGCCTCTTACATGCGAGTGATATATCGTAGCAGGCAAGGCGGCAACGAAAGCTGTGGCGAAAGCCAAAGCAGATTCTTGGGAGAAATCCCATGAGGTGTTGGAGTCGAATTTCCACACGGCAAACAAAGTATTCAGGTACACCATTCGCCGACACCGAGGTGAAAACAAGGGCAGTCTCAGAGTCTTGAAGGACAGATCTGGACACCCTCTTACGAAGTATGATGAAATTCTTCAGCGATGGAGGGAGTACTTTGACGAACTCCTTAACCCCGCGCAACAGCAGGAAGACTCGCCTGTAGAGCAGAAGGGTACGGATATTACTATCTATACTGTAGATGAAATTTCACAAGCTGCGAAAAGCTTGAACATGGAAAAGCTGCCGGAATTGACGAAATCCGCCCTGATATGCTCAAGGCATTAGGCGAACAAGGCATGTGCTGGCTAACACGTGTCTGTCAAACTGCGATGAATACGGGGAAGAAACCATCAGACAGGAGAACCGGAGCTGTTGTACTCGTATTCAAGAACGGAGACCACAGGGAATGCTCCAATTATAAGGGCATTTTAAGTTACTGAGCTCCCAGGAAAAGTGCACTGAAAGGAGGTGGCGCGGAATAACTGACTGCAAGATAGAAGAGTAGTGTGGATTCAGGCCCGGTCGAAGCACGTCTGGCCATACATTCACCCTGTGCCACATTGCCGAAAAATCGTGGGAGTACGCCATCCGGTGCACATGTGTTTTGTTGATCTAGAAAAAGCCTATGACCGGATCCCACGCAACAGTGTGCGGTTATGCCTACGAGCATACGGGATAGATGGCCAGCTGCTAAGGGCCATCCAATCAGTTATTCTGATAGCGGGTGCTGAATCAGAGTAAATGGCGTCAAGTTGAAGCCTTTCAACATTGGCACTGGTCTCCGCCTATGCTCCGCTCTATTTCCTCTCCTGTTTGTGTTGTACATGAATAAAATAGTGAGGAGCAGCGAAGGCAATGAGTGTCTCAGTTTAGATGTGGAGACCAGAAGGTTGCTGTCTGTAGACGAACTTGTTTATTGGCGTCTTGTGAAACTAATTTACCTCCCTGGAAAGGGTCGCAGAGCAGTGCGACGTGGTCAGCATGCGTATGAACGTATCTAAACCTAAACGCATGGTGCTTTCTCATTCTCATGAAGGCTGCGCTCTTCAGATTAAAGGAAAAGCAGTGGAACAGTTGGAGAAGTTCAAGTACAACAGTCGTGTTCACTGGTGATGAAAAATTTGAGGAAGAGATCTACCGGCGAACTGGTGTAGCGGGTGAGTGAAGTTCTGCCTGAATTAGCCGAAACCATTGTGACTAAATGACTAAGTCTGAAAACTAAGCTCTCGGTATTTAAGTCGATCTTTTCCCTATAATTGTCTGTGGTCATGAGTCGTAGTCCATACCTGAGAAGCTTCGAGCTCAGGTACAAGCGGCTGACATGTGCTTTCTGAAACGAGTCGCTGGCCTTATGCATCTCGATTTGCTCCTGAACATAGACATTCGCGAGAACCTTGGTGTACAGCAGCTACTTCTTGAGAGCTAGAAGTTACAGCTGAGATGGTTTGGGCATGTGTTGCGAATGCTTCCAGAAAGGAAGGCTAAGCAAGTGTTCCTTGCAAATCCGACCGGCAGAAGTCCCAGGGGACAGCCAAGATTAACCTGGTGCAAATATATGGAAGGAGCCTGTTCTAGACTCCAGTCGTCTTCTGCCGAAGCTCAAACTCTGGCACAGGATAGGGAACGTTGGAAGCACTGTATGACGCGTCTGCCACCGCGACCCGAAATGAGAATGGTAACGGAATGAGATGACTACCGTATTTTTCGGACCATAAGGCGCACTTAAATTCCTTATATTTGCAAAAAAATCGCCATTGTGCCCTATAGTCCGGTGCGCCTTATATACGAATTTTGGCCTGAATCCTTCATACAAAAGATGCTTCTTTTGCTTCTGCGATGTCGTTCTCTTCATGGTTATTTTACTAAATTTATAAAATGGTTTGATTTCGTAGAAAGTTCCTTTGTAATTGGGCCTTATTTACATTTCATTGGAACGAGTCTATGGTAGAACGCAGCTTGTCACGTCGGCCGGCTATTTTCGATTGCAAACAATCACTAGACGGGTATCATATTCTATATGCGCCGTTTTGTCGGGGTGCGTCGAATGGCGGAGTTTTGTCCTGGGCCGTTTTGTTACGGCGCCTCTCTAGGCAATTGCCGACTGCAGTTTCGAATTTGATCTTATTCAAGCGCGAAGTCTTCTGGTGACCATAAATCAATCACGGGACAGTGGCTATCCGGTGATCAAGACGAAACCTTTTCATTTGCCCCGCCAATTTTCGTGATACGCATTGTGCTTCAAGAACATTACCGTACAAGGACCCCAAAATGATACCTGTTAAGAGACATACTTACGAAGCGGATTTCAAACTCAAGGCCATCAGCCACGCAGTACAACATGGGAATAGAGCAGCTGCGAA